AATAATATTATAATTAATTATTAATTAATATGATAATATTTATTATTATCTTATTATGGAGAAAATACCCGAAATCCATAATGTATTCGGGGCACTAAATGAAGCTGTACTGTATCTCCCTAAACCACTTGATATTAAAGCTGATAACCATAACCTAAATTTTTAATGGTTGAAGAGGTTTCTAACATAATTTCTCAGTAAGAACTTTCATGACTGGATATCCAAATTGAACGATGTTATAGAAGAGGGGAGAGGGGAAATAAATAAAATATACTTGCATCATGACAGAATCCAAGGTAAAAGATTACATATGGCAAAGCAAATAAGCGTAAAAGATATAATGCTCAGAATTCACAAGAGAATTCGTAATCTTGTTATCAAACAAAAAGATTATGCCATGCAGTTGTGCTACTTGAGTTTAAAACACAAGATAATAATGAGTTTTAACCAAGCCGCGAAGCAAATATTGACTTGGTCACATCTCCGTTTTTACCAACATTTATTCCATGAATTCGGTGAGTATTCCTTGGCATAAGGTTGTCATCTGCGCCAAGAAATATATTAGTAAACGTGCGGATGTTGTAAAGTTATTGAGTCCCTTAAAGGTGCAGTTTGCAAATCCTCCACCATTGATAGAGAAATGTAAGCGGAGGGATCTCCCCTTGTAGGACTTGTACTTGTAAGAGGTTAGTAAATTATTTTTAAAGGAATTAATTTTGTGTAATTTGTTTCGTTGGAAAAATAGAAATTTTAATCGCAAAAATAAATAATAATAAACAAATAATAATAAATATTAATTATATGTATAGTTTTCTAACAATACGCTTATTATAGAACAAAGACAAATAAAATCAAATTTAAAATTTCGGCTAATATTTGTACCTAAAATATTTTATTATTTTTTGTTTGTTTGTTTTTCTTATGTTATTAATTTCCTTTCTCCCCTTTGATTTTTATTATTTCATTTATCATTCATTCACTCAACCTTTTTTTGATTGTTTTCATATTTTTTCATACTACTATTTATAACGTTCGAAAAATTCTGCAGTTAACTTACGACTCCCCAGAATCACACATTTGTAGATCGTGCAAATTTTACCCCTGATAATAATAATTTCATCACGTCAAAAAAAAAAGTATAAATATATTGAGAATTATTTGAAATCTGGATTGGAGATTATATAATAATAAGCATAAATACCAAAAAAATACGTTTTTTCCCTTAAACAGATCATTCGACAATTTAGGATGATCAACATCCAATTGGATATTGAAATAAAGTGTTTTTATTTTTAAAATGTCAAGTGTTGCACCCACAGGGTGAGCATCAGTTATATATATAAGGTTTAATTAGATTGGTTAATTGAACGTTATTATATGGTGAAATAAGTCTAAACTTTTTTTATTATATACACAGACTTCAACATGTGAAAAGAATTACATTCAATACAATGTATTCAGTTTGATTAGGGCGTGTATTTGATCACCAAGTTCACCAGACACAGCACAAAACATCCAGATGTATAAAATAATTAAAAATTATTATTATTATTTCTCCAGCAAGGCTTGTTCAGGAATCATCCTTTGATCTCTATCTACCTGATACAATTTAAGAATAAAATCCACAACAGTTTCAATTTCATCAATATCACTTCTAATTGATTTAAATGTAGAAAAATCTAGGAGATTGCTGTAGATAATCATGCATGTTCTCAGATGGCAGCAACAGCTGTTATTCAGATGAAACCAAAGAGACCTATCAATGGATTCTTGAATGTTTATTGTGTGCTACCAATGACCTTGCACCATGTGTAATATTTACTGATTCAGATACTGGTATGGTTGCTGCTATCCATGGAACACTTCAACAACAAAACATAATCATTGTATTTGGCATATACATAAGAATATTGAAAGGATAACTTCATAATAAATATGGCGATTTCATAAAAAGAGTGGAATAATTTTCTGAAAATGAATTTCAAAAATGATAGCATGACCTTTTAATTAATTATCCAGCAGCACAAAGTATCTTGAACATGTTCTTGGAGTGGATGTAACAAGTTGGGCATTATGTTTTACTCATCAATCATTTAATGCTGGAATCCAATCAATTCAGCATGTAGTAAGCTACAATTCACTAATTAAACAATAGTCAAACAACATTATTTGAATTAGATGCATAAATCCGGTTACACCTTAATAAAGAAGTTTATAACCTTGTAACAATTTAACGCGATATAATTACTTTCGTGGATGTGTAACATTCAATTTAATAACGTGACACATCATTAATTT